GGGAGCAACCCCTTCCACAAACCATCCAAAGCATCCTTTTTGGCAGGCTCCTATGATGTAGAAAAGCAGGAGAACTCAAACGAACGGAAAGTCATGCAGTTATTTTTTTCATACTTGGGGAAAGGAAGAAAACACCAAACCCAAACCACTGAAGGGATATTCTTACAGAAGAACTTCATTGCATAAACTCGGCCACAAGTCTACTAGAGCAATGTCCCTTAACGACCTCTGGCAATGCAATTTATTAACAGCCGGGCAGGGAGCAAGGCTCAGCTCTGCATGGGTAATTCTGGCCAGATCCGACCCACAGTTGATCAGGACACCCATTTTTCACTTTGAGAAAGACACTTCATCCCGTTACCACCAGCCAACTCACTCAACTTCTGCAGCTCTGTTTACCTGCGGTTTTCATTTACGTCCTACCCTTGAACCACAAGTGCTGCTGGCTTCCAGTGCGGTGGAGCTATTCTTGCTGGAAATAGCATCTCAATGCACTCAACAAGGAAACTGCATGTACTTTTAAGGTGTTCTCCCCCATTTTCACTAGCAGGTTTGTTTAGGGACTAATTTAGGCTAGGAAGTGCTATCAGCTCTTTTTGCCTGGACCACCTTCCCAGAGAGAGAGGGGCTGTGTGTGAAACATCTCACCGGGAAAGATTGGACAGCGTCATGTCTCAAGCAGAGATAAGTAGGTGGCCTCAGCCAAATTCCCCAATCTGGCAAATTACCAGCCCTCCACCCTGGCAGGAGTCACTGCACTGCACTGGCATGAATGGTTGTGTACCCACTGTGGGGATGGGTGGTCACACAAATGCATACACAGTTTGCTGGGTTTTCAATCCCTCTTCCATCCCCAGCAGCTGTGCATGTGGGTGGTGGTCCCCAAGACGCAGTGCAACCCAACGGAAAGGTTGAAGGTGCGAACGGAGAGGCAACCACTGGGCAGAGCCAGTCAACATGGCTGGAGTGCCGCCAGGCTGGCCTTGCGGTGGCTCAACTGCCCTACATGGTTCGACGGACACCAAGTCGCCATCGGTCGGGGTGATGCCTACCTCGCGGGTGAAGAGGATGGCAGCATCATAGTGCTCATCATGGTCATCGTCAAGGCGGTTGTGCTGGTGCTGCCACTTGCAGAAGTTCTTGAGAGTGGTGGCGGCGTTCCTGTTGACCTCCAGCCCCTTCTCCTTCTCGCCGAGGGCCACCACCTTCACCACAGCCAGGCGGACGTGATTCTCCAGGCTGGCATGGGCGTACAGCCGGGAGGCTATGGAGGCCAAGGTGAGCAGGTAGTGCTGCAGCCCCTTCCCGTACTTGCGGACCATGGAGGCGTCGGCCACCAGC